AAATTTCTTCTGCAATTACTCAGGTGCCACGTCTGGTGGTTTCTTTGTATAATCTATGTAGACAATTTATGCGTAGGACAGTATTGCTTTGTTTTTGCGTAGCACAGCAGTAGTAATGTTTTAGCGTTATGTAGTAGTAATAAGTTTTTGTTCTTTTTCTTCTTCAATCTCAAATCATTTTCCTTCAGGTTGTGAATTGGATGGAGATATTATTTCTTGCAAACTTGTTTAGAAAACATTAGTTGCTTATAGTGTAAGACCCCTTATGAATTGGTTTGTAAGTTGAATTTGTCTCCTTCTCTGTGATTTTAGAGGATACATTCCCCATGCTCTCTCCTTTGAGAATCTAGATACAAGATATTTTCACTAATTTGTGCTGTGAAAAGAGAAAGTATGTTCTGGTAACCAATTAAAATGGTTACTGTTTCCTTTTCTATCCTTGATTTGGTATCTACTTCAACAAAATTCTTCTGGAAGTAAGTTGGCATCCAATGTTTGTATATGACCATAATTTTTAAGTGCAATATTTTTTTAACCTCTCGTGTCCTCTTTTCCCAAAATATATCTAGGCTTTATGTATTTTGAATGGACATGTCTTACTCAGGAAAATAGACAAACCTCTTATTTCTTTTTCTCTCAAGCATATTCTTAATGCCAGGAAAAAACTGGGGGAAAAATCATTTATCGAGTTGGTGGTGTTGTTTATCTTTTCCGGGGCCGAAACTATAACTACCGTACTCGTCCACAGTATCCAGTGATGCTTTGGAAACCAGCTGCTCCAGTCTATCCAAAACTTATCCAAGAAGCTCCTGAAGGATTGACAAAAGCTGAAGCGGATGTGTTGCGGAAGAAAGGGAAATCTCTTCTGCCTATATGTAAACTAGGTAAATCAACCATTACTCATTTTGGGATGCATTACTGGCAATCTTGTAGATTTATTAATTGGTTTTCATGGGGGGATTTTACTAGTATGCATTTGCCTTTTCGAGAAGTAATTATTATCTTTGTTTACGTTGTAGCAAAAAATGGTGTATATGCTTCCCTGGTGAAAGATGTTAGAGACGCTTTCGAAGGAAGTCCTTTGGTGAAGATTGACTGCAAAGGGATGCATGCAAGTGACTACAAGAAAATAGGTGCTAAGCTCAAGGTCTGTAAAAATTTTTTTGCTATTCCTTAGGTCGTACAGTGTTTCTTGATTTTAATGCCTAAATTGACTAAAAATTGTTAGGGACTCATCAAGGTTAATTAACCAAAATAATCTAATACAAAGTGAAATATTCTAAGAATGATTAATCTGGCAGTAGTTTAACATTGGTGTCATGCAAACATGGCCCTTATCAGGGATCTTGAGTTGATCCTAGTAGATTTGACGTTGTAATAAAAGACTATATATAATGATAATGCTAGCTGAGGGACTGATAAAATGTTGATCTATATTCTAGTACATCTTTGAATTAAATAATATAGCTTAATTGAAGTATTCATCTAGCTAGTATGAAAAGTTGAATTTTGATGTTTGTCATTGGCTTTTTTATTCTTACTAAGATATTATCTTTGATGCCGATTTGTATTAGTCCCGAATTAGGCAAGAACACAGCTTGGGGCTGGATATAAAGTTTTGTGGTTTATTCAACAGCATGCCTGAATGAGGGACCTGGTTTGCTAGTTGATGTAGTGTTCAATAGGTACAGATCCAGAGATCGGTTAGGAGAACTTGAGGGGGGATGACCATTCTCACAATTCTCCAGAGGTTCTTTAGGAAAACTTGAGGGGATGAGCATTCTCACAGTTTTCTGTTTCCCACGCTTATGAAACCACAACTATTTGCTTTCTTGCAGGATAGTTAAATCTCTGATTTCAGTGATGAATTAATTTCTCCATGTAATGTTCTGATTGAATCTTCTGAACAGGTTGCTTAAGGGATGTGATTTATTGTTCTTTTTTTTCACTTATCTTTTGATGTAAGCCAGAAAGCTTTTGAACTGGATGTTTGCTTAAAAGGATTTAAGGCATTAAAGAGTTGAGATCTCTTATTTTGGTTGAATTTTACTGAACATATGCTCCTATAAGGCAGCCAAGCTAAAATTAGTGGAGCCCTCCAAGAGTAGTTAGCTCAGGTGAAGCCAGTTTGAGAGCCTTCGAAAATGTTCCCCTTATATCTGGTGCTTGGTTGAGCACCAAATATACAGAGAAGATACAAGTCCGGATCTCCACAATAATATCTGTTATACATGTTTGTTGGTCATTTTACTAATTTCTTTATGAGTTGCCCTGGTAATTGTGGCTAGTCTCTTTGTCTTCTAACCTTTCTTCTTCTTCTTTTTTGGCAGGAATTGGTTCCTTGTGTGCTATTATCTTTTGATGATGAACAAATTTTGACGTGGAGGGGACAGGATTGGAAGTCAATGTACCCAGAAGCTCCTTCAACCTTACTTCCTGCTAAAGCTGGCATTTCAAGTGGTTTAGATGATTCAGGTATGCATTAGAGAGAGTATTAGGATACATTTTTATTAGTTTTCTTTCAAAAGCTTAATTTAGAGTGCAATTGAGAGTGCATAGTGTGGTGATAAAATCTTTTAATCTTTGGTCCAGTAAGTTATCATACAATATATTTCTATACATTGTAAAATGGAGATGGTAAGGATTTTGACCCAGATAATTTTGTGATTGTTACAAATTCCTAAGAGATTATTTTGGTTACTTGGTTCTAGAATCAAGATATTCAGATGAAACTTTGTAATTGTGGCTTCTAGATAATGCTGAGGTGGGATATATCATAGGCTTACATGTAGGGCCTACCACAAACAGTGTCATGAATGGTAAATATACAGTTGTAAAGAATGGTTGATGATGCCCATTATTTTTAGCTGTTTTAGTGTTTATGTGTTTCAAACAAATTCATGGAAGATTCTGTTGGCCATTATGTGTCAGGGAAGCATAACTCTACTGGCATTCAAAGTTAAGTAGACAATTATTGGGGACAAAATTAGCTAACCGGACAGTTTGTTTGGATTTTGGGTAAAGGCAACAAGTACAACCTACTAGGGAGGAAAATCTGTGATGGTGCATATTAGATGTGGCAAGGACGGGAGTTTCCTAGAAAGTGTGTTGTCGACTGTCCTTGCTCCATATTTTGTCCTTTTGTTTTTTTTTTCTCTTCCTTTTTCCCTTCATTTTCTTCTTTTTGAATTTTGAGATTGATGTAGACATAGTTAGCTTTTACCATGTGGAGAGGGTTAATAGTATTGTGTAGACTGGTGGTTCTCACTAGTGGCCACCTTTTTTTCTAGTTTTCCTTAGTAATTTGCTTGATTGTGCAGTTTTGATCCATTTTGTTGCAGCTTTTGGAATTTTTTGGTCAACAATGCAGCTTTGTTGGTTTTTAATGAGGTTTATTTGGTGCACTGCAGCCAAGTCTGCTGATGATTGTCATACACCAGACATCAAAAATGTTATATCAAGCCCGAAAATGATGTCCCTTTGGAATAATGCGATCGAGTCAAACAAGGCATTGTTGCTGGATGAGATTGCTCTTGGTCCTGATGCTCTTCTGGAGAAGGTGGAGGAATTCGAAGGCATTTCTCTAGTCACAGAGCATTCCTGTGAAGCATTAGTCTTGTCCAGTGAAGATGGTTCTGGTAGTGCCATGGCAGAGTCAGAAGCTGGTTCTTGCAGTGAGGATTTTGGTGGTGAAAATGAGATTTACAGCGATGATGACATCATTAATGATGAATATTATGATGTTGAAGAGGTGAATTCATCTATCCCGCTAGGGTCATTACCTGTTGACAAGATAGCAGAAAGGCTCAGACGGGAATCAAAATGAAGGGTCAATCTGCTGGGCTGCAATTTCTCTAGTCACCTATTTATTTTCACCATCACAAGCTGGGTAGAATGAGATGTATGATCATGTTATATTGTTGTCTTCTTTTCTTGCTCTAAATGGCAATGGAAACGTCTGTGTCATCCTCTTCATCTTCTCGCAACCCGCCTAGCTTTTCATATTGTACAGCTGTAGCTTTAAATGTAATATTTACATGCGTACGTATATGGTCCTTAATTTCTTATAAATCGTAATTTATTCTTTGAAGCATATATTTAACGTTTACTAGGTTTTCCATCATGAGAAAATGGACGCATCCATGCAGAAGTGTACAATTGACGGTTATGGCTGGCCTCGCTTAGTACTAATTTCGCTTATCATTGTCTCCTGTTAAAAAAAAAGAAGACAAGGAAAATTCAGTATTCTTTGATATTTATATTATTTTATCTACTAATAATAACTAAATTTTCTACGATTTATTTCTTGTGGTTGGTAGTTGCCCAGTTTGGAAACGTGTCTTGTTTCTCAGATATCTTTGTAGTCGACAAGTCTTGGCTTTCACTCTCGTATTCAACTTCCCTAAGCCTAACGAAAATTGATTGGTTTTTTTTTCTACAAATCGCCTCCTTTGTCCCAATCCCACCAAATCCATCCCACCCTCCAAACAAACCCATTACCTTTTTCCTAAATAAAAAAACAGGGAAACTTCTGTTTAAGAATGTATCCATCTTACTAACTGATGAACAAAAAGCGTTAGCAGCCAAGCCATTCTCTAGAGACTGAAGAAACAGAGGGAAAGACAATAAAGTCCCCTGCCTGCCTTGCTCTCTGCGTCGCCTCATTAACTAATTCCCTCGAGACAAAGGTAAACCGTACTGCTTTTTTTTCCTTGCTATGAAAAAGAAAACTACGATACAAAGAAGAAGCAAAGCATATTCTGTTTTCAACGTGGAGTCTTCTGTTCAGTAGAATCCTCAGCATTCTTATTCGTTAAGTGTGAGCGCCTTAAAACCCGTCTTTCTTTTTCAACGATATCGACCCTTCTCTCATCCATTTTTTTGTCCCATTTTTAATGTGATCATATCTTTATGGGAAGAACCCATCTAAAGTAAGGAATCTCTGTTTTTCTTTTTTTCGTTCTAAATTTATGTTATGATGTTTAGTTCTCTAGTATTCCTTCCTTTGCGTTTGCTTTCCAGTGTTTCCCTGAAAAATTCTATAAACATTAGCCCAATGATCATATATATGTGACTGACTTTGGGGATTCGGCTTCTTAATTGTTTTAGTTCTTTTTAAATATATTCGTCTGATTTTTCCCCTTGATCAAATGGAAGAAGTGTTCTACCAATCAAATAGTATACCCCATTGTTTTTTAAAAGAAAGAACTTCTTTATTATTTTTTCTTGTTGAAGAAATTATTCTATTGGTCGCTGAAAATTAGTTCTTTGCCTTAAGCTGTTTGGTTCTCAATTTTTATTTGATTTTAAGAATTACCCTTTTTGAACTTTTATGTTGGTAGTTAGTTAAGCTGAATTTTTGGGTAGAGAGACTTGCATTTGTCATCTGAACATTGTGCATTGGAATACAAATAAGAAATTATGATAACCAGTGGGGCAAGTAGGAGTAATTTCTTGAGTTTCTTAACAGGATCCTCAACACATACCTGGCAGCCCGTCATGACTACCGATACTGCCACCTTAAGTTACTGGTTGAACTGGAGGTTCTTACTCTGTGCACTATTCATCTTAACCTCTATGGTTGTGTCAGCAATTATAATTTGGAAATTTGAAGGTCGGAAAAAATCAGAACATCAGGACAGAGAAAATCAGAAGGAAGCACCAGGGTTTTTATACGAGGATGAAGCTTGGAACACATGTCTTAAATCCATTCACCCTGCTTGGCTGCTTAGTTTTAGAGTATTTGCCTTCATCATACTTTTGGCATTGCTCATGGCCAATGTTGTTATTGATGGAGGTGGCATATTTTACTTTTATACACAGTGAGTGATATATCTCTACAGCTTTCTCTTTTTATTTTATGTTTATTTACATTTTTCAATAGAAAGTAAACTTGGTTGTATTTAAGGTGATTGCTTGAATCATGCACTTGACATTGAACAGACACTCCTACAACTTGATGATGGTTTGTCTGTGCATCATATTGTTCCAACTTTATATACTCTGCATTGATTCTAGTTTTACCATTGTGGATGTACGAGATGATATTTGTCTAAAAATGTTCCCACTTAGTTATTTTTAGGTTCGTTCCAGAAGCCATTGTGATTTCAGCATGCTTAAAATAACTAACTATGTAGTGCCCTATATTATAAGTAAGCATGGTTTTAACCTATGCATAATAATGCTATGTTTTTTCTATTTTTGTAAAGAAAGTTCTCCATTTAGAGGTTAAAACAGCTTGGAATTATTTGACCTGCTTGATTGCATGAAAGTTTCAAGTTTCCTACCTATGAGAAAGATTAAAAAAAATAAGTAAAAAATAGTTTAAGGTGATTTGTTGTTAATCAAGATGCTATCTTTGTGACCAGATTTCCGATGATCTTAATGTTTGGTTTGTATTTTGTTATAACAGATTTGTTTCTTTTCCCTAACAGGTGGACATTTACTTTGGTCACAATCTACTTTGGGGTATGTCTCTTGTACGATTTTTGTCATCTTTTTTTGTTTTTTGGAAGTATGCTTCTCCCTCTGTTTCAAATTACTAGGATTGCGTTTTTTCATAACTTGTTGATATTCTCAACCACAATTGTAGGTTGGATCTGCAATCTCCATAAATGGATGTTGCAAACACTGGGGAAAGGTTGGTGGTGATAGGGCTGATCATGTAAGTTTAGATTCTGAGCAAGGCACCTACATACCTCCCACTCTTGGGGAAACTGCAGATGCGACCAACCAGTCGAAACATTTGGATACCCATGAAGCTCCTTATCATCCTTCCAAAGCAGGTGCATGGACTTATGCCTTTCAAATTATTTATCAGGTAAGTTTTCTCCTAAAATCCACTTCCATAGTTGAACTTCTACATTTTACTTATCTGACTCCTGCTCTCTGTTTTGTCTTCCATTGGTCATTACTTTGTTATATTCTTTGTACTTCTGTTTCTTTAGCAAAATCTGGGATGTAACTAGTAAAATAAGTCTTGAAGAAAGAAAGATGACTATCAATACTGTAACAGAAAGTCTTGTGAACTTTGTTCAAGGGAACATGAAGTAATTATTATATAGTGAAGTGAAGGAAGTATGTTTAAAAGCCTAGATGCATAGATGCGGTTATTTTGGTGGGCCTATTGATTATGTGGCCTTGATTGTGCAGATCCTGGGTGAATTGACTGTATGATTTCTGTTTTACCTTGAATGATGCACTTCTGGGATTCTAGTGCTATCTGCTGTTGATTTTATCCTAGTTATTTAGGTCACAATATAACTGCCTATGACCTGATTTTTTATTCTTTTGCTGCCTACCAATAGACTTGTGCAGGTGCAGTAATGCTTACTGATTCTGTATTTTGGCTCATTCTTTTTCCATTCCTAACATCCAAAGATTACGGTCTGAATTTTGTAAGTATGAGGCTACAAAATTTATTCTCCTGGTTTTGCTTCTTTTTTTAATTGGAATTGATTTTGCTGTACGTATGGTCAAACCCCTTTGCTCTATTAACTGTATCATAACTCGTCAAAATGAAGGTGATCTTACCTAAGCTAATTGGATAAATGGAGGTAGTGTAATTTGAGAAGGGTTTTATCTATCTTATTTTCTTTTAAGTTGAAAAATATTTTGTAACACAGATTGTCTTAGCAGTGCATTGCATTTTGAAGTTTACCATTGTGCCTAAATTTCTTCACCACAATGCAGTGTAAACTTGGGAAGGTGATCGAAGAGCTTTGTGGCTAGTGCTGTCAACTTCTTAATCTCATTCATACTTTCTTCTTCTTTTGTGTGCATGTGTGCATGTGTGCATGGTGGGCTAGTAAACCAGCACTGAAACTATGAACTGCAACCTTTATTTGTGTTCTCAATATGAGCACAGAAATCCATGAATAAAGCTTTTGTTTGTTGACTGTCTTGAACCCTTGTGAGAGTGTAACTTAAAATTTTGTCAAAATATTTGGTTAGATGTCATTAGATTCCGCCGCTTATGAGCAATTACCATCACATGCCTTATGTAGTAGTAGTGCCTCAATCTATTTGTTTTACTATGAAGTAACTTGGGCTATAAAAGGTGGAAAGACTTTGCTGTGTTTTGACTTGTTGCCATTTGGATTATCATTTAAGACCAGTTGAATTGCTCCTCTGTTATTTATACACATCTTTTATCCGGGATTTATGTCTACCCTTTTGACTGCAGCTGATTGTCTGTATGCACTCAATCAATGCTGTTTTCCTACTCGTTGACACAATTTTGAATTGCATAGTAAGTTTATTTTTTTGATAGTCCCGGTGGCATTTCATTTGCTGTACCTTCCCAAAAATTGCAGATATAAACTAATGTTTCCCTTGCAGCGGTTCCCTTTGTTCCGGATTGCATATTTTGTTTTATGGACGGGCACATTTGTTGTTTTCCAATGGATCATCCATGCTTGTGTTAATCTTTGGTAAAGTTATATTTACATTTTACAGTTTTACCTACTAGTTCAGATATTTTGTTTTATTGTCTAGCTCTCTCTCTCTTTTCAAAAGGCGTTATTCTAATAATGTGACACCCCTCTGTTTGCAGGTGGCCATATCCATTTCTTGACTTGTCATCCACATATGCTCCCTTATGGTACACGTTTAATCTTTTATGAGATATCTTTGTGGTTATGGTTTTTTCGGAAGCGCACACACACACACACACACACATATTACAAAACTTTTGTTTTAGAAATTTAAGAAACCAATTGAAGGCAATTCTTTGAATGGCTGAATTAACGAACATTTAGAAATTTTGGGCCCTTGATATTTCAAAAAGGATTTTAGTAGGCGACAGTTTTTTTTCCAAAATTATTAGAAGCGAAGGCTTTATTTGAGACTTGTGTCATCCTAAAGTTATTTGCAGCCACCCTTTGTTGCTAGCATATCTCTGAAACCTAAAGCACATGCATTTTTAGTTTGGTGCTGCACGATGATTTAATACTTAAATATTATAATATTTACATTAAAATTTTATTTTTTTAGTGATAAAAATAATTCTGCTGTAAATAAGTAATGATAAATGGTTTTTAGTATAAAACATATTGTATGGATAATTACTTACATTTGTTAATGATTAAACTAAATTAAAGTTCATTTAGGTCCATGGTATATACAATATGTTCCAGGAAGAGAAGCATTTAATGTATCTTTGAAAAGTTTATTTATTTATTTTTTTGAGCATTGTACTATGTAACTAATTAATAATAGTACCAACAAATGTGAAAAAGATCTTTTTATGAAAACAAATTTATAATCAAACTAATAGTTTAGATTAATTTGATTATATGCTTAACTTATATTAATAAGTAGGGTGATGATCAAGTTTGTGAATCATGATAGTTAATATTTATTCAAATCAATATTTATTTTAGTAAGGATTTGGATTAATCTTAGTGAATAAATTAATTAAAATGAGTCAATATTATAATTTAATAAAAAGATCATTTATGAAAGAAAAAATAATTAATTTAATAAATTATCAAAGATATATATATATATTAATTATTTGGATGTGTAGCCGGTAAGTTGTGGTGAAACTGATTAGCATGTGGTGCGGGTGTGCTTACCATCTGTGTTGCAAACATGGCCTGAACAGGTACCTGGGCGTAGGACTGATGCACGTTCCGTGCTATGGCATCTTTGCTTTAATAATTAAATTCAAAGACTTTTCATTGTCAAGGTCTGTCCCGGAGTCTTATCGAAAATGGAGGTAGAAGACAGATTGCTTTGCTGGGGTTGAGATTGGAATTGGGCCGCCACTGCATTCTATCAGATAGCATAGCCGGAAGATTACTAAAATCAGGTGTCTTCTTACTAATTGTCGTTGAACCGGAATCTACAGAGTCCAGTCCAAGGTAGCTCAGTTAAATCAATAAATGATTGAATTTGTATAGAAGCTATTTAGGACATGGTAGATATACAACATTCTTCACTTAAATTCCAACTGTCCAACATTGCCCTGCTCGCATAGTGTAAGTACATAATAATTGAAACACCCTAGACTTTACGACTTACTGATAATAAGTAGCCAGTGGGAGGCCTTAACTGCTACGAGAAAACACCGTCAATAAACGTAAGTGCCCCAAAGAAGTAAAAGAAGCACCATACTTGGATTGGTCCCATTGGAAATTGCCCCTGAAATTTAACTTGGGACATTGTCAACGACGTTACAGAAATGGCCCTCTTGGTCACCGCCCGAGCAAAGTGACAATGTACCCTGATTGGTGACGTTGGCTAAACGGGTCGACCAAAACTCTTACCACCTAGGAAAAGAAGGCGTGCACCTGTTGCTAATATCTTACACAAATATTCTTAACAAATGTAAACAAAGCGTATATCATCCCAACCCAAGTATGAATGCTGAACATTGACTCGGCCATTTGAGGGATAGTAATACCAAAAAAACTAGGTAGTACAAAAAAGATGACTTTGATCATATGTAATTCTCAACTCTCCAAACTTGGAAATACAGTCCGTTGAATGGAAGAAATTAAAGCAAACAAAGGTCAATACTGTCTGCCCATGAAACCCAAAAACAATTTTCCAAAGCAAAGGCTTAGAAATGTGCCATGCTTCACGGGGTTGGCAATGACTCGTGACTTGTGTGCTATGCAAAGCCTTATTGAATATTTTGTTTATTGATGGCTCCGTGGAACTCAGGGTGTTTCTCGGCAAAGATTTACCAAGCAACTTGCAAAACCAAGTCAACCAGAGAGACAGAGCAGCTGTCCAGTGTTGACTGGGGGTTTTGGCTTCATCATGTGTCAAACAATGCTCTCTATCTTCATTCTTGACTGAGGGTTGGTTGGTGAGGTTCCAAATCCCATTTTTTTTAAAAAAAAAATAAAAAATAAAAAAACATGGCAGATTGATTGTTTTCAGCGATCATTTTGGTTGTCCGATCTGAAAACAAAATGAATTTGTTTCGGCTATTCTGTTTATAGCTAATTCTACTCTGCATGATGTTTGCATGCCCACATTTATATGACAGAAAGTGATATTCATGTTCCCTTCTCAATGAATTCTTCATTCCCTGGCAAAAACAAAAATAAAATGGGATCTGAATCCAGGTCCTTGATAGAGCAAGCCATATTCCTCCAAGTAATGGGGTTTAAATTTAGAATAGACAATTTCGAAAAAGAATATGTTTATTCAAGTAATAATCAGTAATAACGAGTCAATTCATACAATTCATGATTTAATTATATTAAATACCAAATTGATTAGGTTTGACTATTTCGTTACTTGCATTAATTAATTTTGCCTTGTTTAATATTTGGCCAAGTGTCCTTTGTATCCAATCTTTTCTGGCCAAACCTTTTCTTAAGGAATTAGGCAGCTCTCTATTACACAATAAAAAGAAGGTTAATTAACCAACTTAGGCAGCTTGTCATCTCTACTACCTAAAGATGGTACTACAACCAACTCATAATTCACAAGCCATATACACACACGCCCGCAACAAAGAGAAAGTCTACCAACGACACGTTTAATGTAATAATAATAATAATAATAAAAGGATATACATTTATAGGATGAAAGTTTTCATAATAAGCAATTGCTATTTTTTTTTCTTTTCTTTTTGCCTCAGCCATAAGCAGTAGTTGATTTTTGTGCAATATTTGATCATTAATTTAATACTAATTAAGTATATATAGTTGGACTTTAGTCTAAACAAGTTAGCAATTCAAATTAAACTTTGTATAATATAATCTTAATATACATGGGTCAAAATGATAGCCGATCAACTTGGAGTTTTTATAGAAATATGTCAAAAGCTAAGTGTATATAAACAAGCATCTCTCTTCTTTTTTTTTCCCCACAAATTTTTACTAATTAAACTTTCTTTTGGAAGTTTGACTAATTTGACACATTCAATCCGTTTTACTATATGTATAATATTAAAATCAACATGTAAAATACTACTACTAAATAATAAACAATAAAAAAGATTTAAAAATTTTAAAAAATGAAAATAAAATTATCAAGCACTAAACATGTAAAATATGCATCCGAATATTTTACTCATTAACTAATATATTATCTCCTTACTTAATAAATAAGGTTTGAATTTTTTTTCTTTCTTAATTATAAAAAAATAAACATGTAAAATGTGAATAACAACAATTTTGATAATGTGAGTGGCCAGGGTTTCAACCAAACTGTCCATCTAAACTTCTCACATTTGGACGGGTGCAGCAGCCGCCTTGGCCTTTGAGAAAAGTGGTACTGCACATAAATCAACTGTGACTAACTGCACTTGATCTTGTACATTCAATCAGCCGGAGATCCACTGAATCTCATCCACCAATAAACTTCCAAAAACAGTTTTTCGTTAATTTATTACTTTTGTTGTTGTACCAGTTGAAGCGTTGGTCTGGATCGGTTAGGTACCCACATGTGTTCATTTCCAATAAGTTCCCGCGGATTAATTAGTAATTTGGAAATGATCTGCTAAATATTTTGAAATATTAATACTCCCAAAAAGTAATATTGTGAATAAATATTCATAAATATATAATGTTTTAGGTGTGAATATGATTTCTGAACAATGAGTTAAGACAAAATAGCAATACTTTAGATATTCTATTTATATTTTTTTCATTTTTGGAAATCAAAGTTTGAAAAAATATAAAAAAAGGAAAAAAAAAACCAAATTCACAGCTATAAATACGCCAAAGAAATATAAGATGACATAGCACACTTTCAAGTTTCATTGGTAATAGCTCCAACTACCTCAGCGTGCCTCGTATTTGGACAACCGTCCACTTCGCTTGTCTTTCAACGGTACTTATTTCCCATTTTTCTCCACATTTTTATTAGATTTTGTTTAGATCTGAATCGAAAAGGTTTCTCTAATTTGTTTCGAAAGTTTTGATTTGGTTGCAAATTTCCAGTGAAAGAAAAAAATAATGGCGCGCAAGAAGATCAGAGAGTACGATTCCAAGAGATTGTTGAAGGAGCATTTCAAGAGGCTTTGCGGCAAAGAATTGCCAATCAAATCTGCGCAAGTCAGTTCAAATTTCTCCTTCTAGATCTCGATTTTCGTTTCGATGAGCATCAATATTTCCCTGTCTGGATTTGGAATTTGCGGATCTACTTTTGTTTGCTTTAATTAGTCACTAGTTTTGTTTCTCCTCGTTTTATGAAAAAAAAAATCTTTCTAGATCGAAATATGAACATGAATTTAAGATGTTGATCCTCCATGATTGGTTGATTAATGATTACTTCAATGATTTGTTTGGTCGCGTTGCTGATTTCAGGTTACGGAGTCGACTGATTTTAATGAGCTAGTACTGAAGGAGCCATGGCTTTCGTCGCAGAAACTGGTTGTTAAACCTGACATGTTGTTCGGAAAGCGTGGAAAGAGTGGTTTGGTTGGCTTAAATCTGGATTTCGCTCAAGTTATTACTTTTGTGAATGAGCGCCTCGGCAAAGAGGTTCACTTTCTATTTTTGTTCCTCTTTTTACAGCCTTTATTTGACATTAATAAGGTTGAGGCTTCGGCGTTATGTTTACCTCTCTCGACTTACAGGTGGAAATGGGTGGATGTAAAGGACCTGTTACAACATTCATCGTTGAACCTTTCATCCCTCACAATGAAGAGTTCTACCTTAACATTGTCTCTGAGCGACTTGGTTGCAGCATCAGCTTCTCAGAGTGTGGAGGAATTGAAATTGAAGAGAACTGGGATAAGGTACACTTAGATAACTAACACTCCTTGTCAGTTCACCTTTGTTTCTTGTGTTATCTTGCGTTATAGTTCCATAACTAAGATGGTGTTATACTTTATATAGGTCAAGACCATATTTGTCCCAACCGGGTCATCTTTCACATCAGAAACTTGTGCTCCACTTTTTGCAACCCTTCCCTTGGAGGTAATTTTTCCCAATCGTGAAGTGTTTTTGCTTCTTAAATCTTGATTGTAGTTTCACTAGAATTTTTATGTCAGCAATTTAATTAGAATTAGATTTTCCTTTTCATAACTTGAACACATTCCTTCATCTTTCAACAGACAAGTTCATTTGATGGATTTGCCTAATTCATCAGAAAATTAATATATATGCATACAGTAATCTTTGACGCAATGTATGTTGCTTTATCTTAGGTCAAAGGAGAAATTGAAGAGTTCGTCAAAGTGATTTTTGCTCTATTTCAAGGTTTGTCATGTATCTGTGTTGAATCTAAGACTATTATTCACATTAACATTTGCAACTTGTCATAAACTTTTTCAAGTTTCAAATGTCAGATCTTGACTTCACTTTCCTTGAGATGAACCCTTTCACACTTGTTGATGGAAAGCCTTATCCTTTGGATATGAGAGGGGAGCTGGATGACACTGCCACTTTCAAGAATTTCAAGAAGTATATCCCCTTTTATTTAGTATCCATTTTATTTATCTTTTCAATGCAATTTTAGTAGGGATGAACATCATCTGATGCCATTTGTTTTTTCTGCAGGTGGGGTAGTATTGAATTTCCAATGCCATTCGGAAGAGTAATGAGTGCAACTGAAAGATATATTCATGGGCTAGATGAGAAGGTACGCTAGATTTGATAGATGGTTGGCCTTGTGTCCGAAATCTTATTTTGACTAGATTATCACCCAGTTGCAGGGGAAACTTAAGCTGTATATGAGTTTTCTTTTATCATTTTTTTAAGAAGAAATATTGAGGCAGATAAGAGATTTTTTTTATTAGTCACCACGTCATACATGTTGTCTTTAAGTAAACCTGAATGTTCAATTCATTTTCCATGATTGGTTAACTATCCATTTTACAACCTAGGAACTCTTCTTCGATAAAAAAAGGGTAAACTACATTGCATTTCGTGTACTAGCTTCATCCACAAATATGGTATTAACTTTAGAAAAAAAAAAATCTTGCAGACAAGTGCATCTTTGAAATTTACAGTGTTGAACCCTAAGGGACGCATTTGGACAATGGTAGCTGGAGGAGGTGCAAGTGTCATCTATGCTGATACGGTTGGTTCTCCTTTTTCCACACTCAGGGTTTTCTTTAGAGGACAAAAACCCTGTAATTTTGAATTATTGGTCATGCTCTTCGAATTTACTTTTAAGTACAATTTATTACCCAATCAGGTTGGAGATCTTGGCTTTGCTTCTGAGCTTGGGAACTATGCAGAATATAGTGGAGCACCCAATGAAGAGGAAGTGTTGCAATATGCCAGAGTAGTAATTGATGTAAGGACTCTGGCCCTCCATTCTCATTAAAATGTTATTAGAGTAGAAGCCTTGGTATTGTATATGACCAACTAGTGCTGTCTTTAATTTTTGTTGAAGATCCTATGAAACATTTGCCAAGTAATTCCAGAGAGAAAAATAGCTGTGCATTAATAAGCATTATGGGCACAGTTTCAGTGCTCACTCACACACATTTTCAAACTGGTTTGAGTATTTGATTTAGGCTGTACAAATAATTTCATTATTCCTGTACAGTGTGCAACTGCAGACCCTGATGGTCAGAAAAGGGCTCTTGTAATTGGTGGAGGAATAGCTAACTTTACTGATGTGGGTGCTACATTTAACGGCATAATTCGAGCCTTGAAGGAGAAGGTAAGCTCAACTATAGTGGCGTTTGCTTTACATCTTGTCCTTGTTTATTTCTTAAGAATAACTGGACATGCAAATACATGCAGGAATCAAAGCTTAAAGCCGCGCAGATGCACATATATGTGAGGAGAGGAGGTCCAAATTACCAGAGGGGTCTTGCAAGAATGCGGGCACTTGGAGAGGATATTGGTATCCCTATTGAGGTATATATTATAGAACTGTATATAAACCACATGTAAATGATGATTACTCTGTATAGTTAAAGAAGAAACAATGAATTAAAGAAACGTGCTCCCCAAAAACAAAAATTTGGCTGATATTTTTTATTCCTGTTTTGGTGCTTCTCTCATAGGTTTATGGTCCTGAAGCAACAATGACCGGTATATGCCAGCAGGCAATCCAGTACATCACTGCAGCTGCATAAGTTGTTTGGTTCTTGAGTTAAACCTCCGATTGTGTTACCTTTTCTAGTGGGGCATGTTCATTAGGTTTCCATTTCAATTGTATTAGAAACCTCACAAAGTAATGTTAGATAATATTAATGAACCATCTACAATTGTTTGCTGAGAAAGAACATGAGATCTCGGGTAGATGGCATTGTCAGCAATAAAGAGCTTCTTAGAATGTTCTACATCTCTGTCCCCTCGCCTTAATTTTCTTAATGCCATTAATAAACTTTCCATGAGCTTGATGTACATTTACCCATCTTATTAATGCTCACTGCTTTCACCTGACCGCTTTAATTGTCTAAAATATGCGTAGACATAGCTTATAAATACTGTCGTAACAGAACATGAGCCTCTTGTCTTGTCTTTGAAGGAGTATTCTAGTATGGTTTGTTCACACTTGGAATCAACTCTGCCAACATACTGTTAGACCTTGTTTGTTCTGATATCTACTTTGAGTTCTTGTTAATGTCCATTTCATTTCTTAATTTCTGCAATAAACCTTAGGGTTATTCAGTCCTATTCATCTAATTCTGAGACTTGAATACTATCTTTTAAACTTTGTCCCCTTGTGTAATAATAAAGTTAGGTAATTAGAAATGCTTGTTTCTTTTTTACATCTCATGTTAAACACGTCAGCTCTCAAAACATAAGGACTACATTAATCAATTTTAAAGTTAAGAGATTAAATTAACGAAAACTTTAAAAGTACAAGAATTTACTAGGTACTTGGACCAAATTTTGAAATGCAAACTGAAAAAATTAGGCGAACATAAACTTTGGTGAGGCCCAATTTTGCCTATGAAAGAAGTAGGTTTTGTCACTGAAATTGGGCCTACAGGAGGCCCAACGTGTCACTTGTGTTCATATGCATGGTGTGATAACAAGGCTAGCCGGTCACAAATTAAAGAGGATTAGTTGACTGAATTATCGAAGTTTGGTGGAGGGAAACATCGGTAGGGGCAGACCATGGCATCCAGATGAGCTGGAGATAACGAGATGCTTACGTTACCCTTTGTACTGACGGAGGAAGTTCCATCTGCCCAACAGTAACTCAACACCCCTCACCTCCATCACTAATAAATCTTTCCAAATGGTTCCCCCTCAAGAACCCAACTTGGCTTAATTACTACTCCCATGGGAAGACAGATGACAATCTTTCAATTGTTATCGGTTAGTACTAATCTATTATATACCCTTTCAGACAACTGTACTTACATGTTACTTTGAGTTTGTATAGGAATGTTTTCACAATATTCATCAAAGGCAGCTTCATTTCATTTTAGTTAATCAATTTCGTTATATTAAAAATGTCATATCATTTGCTATGAGTGTAAAAAAAATCAGTTGATTATTAACCTAACAACTATTAAAATCGCAAGTATAGTAGGATATTTTTCTCATGGTATGAAGATTTATGGATTTGTTTAGATATAATTTAAAAAAAATAAAGATTGATTGGTTGGCTGGAAACTGAGTTGATCTATTTATTTTTTAGTAGCTTTTATTATCCGCTGAAATCCAATGAAATGGCTTCATTTTTGGTTCGGTGGTCGGTGAGCGGTCCATAACTGGTAAAAGCGTCTTCTACTTCTTCAAAAATCAGGGAGGTTGGTGGCGGTGGGTCCCCAGTTTTGGTTTTACAATCAAATATCTAAATTCTTCGACTGTTGCAATTTGGGAAAGTCAACATCAAAGTTAAGCTAATTGCATGTTAAGTGGCCAAAGGCATTCTACTGGGTAACCGTATGTCTAGGGAATGGTCCACTGACTCTTAACAATCTCTATTAATGTAATGAATTCTGGATAAATTTATAAAGATCCATTTCAAGTTTCCAGGAGTTGATCTACAACTTATGGTTTGAATCCAAAAGATAGGACACATATGGCTCAAAATCAAAGCTGTGGAGCCACTTATTCATTGCTGTTTATGTCAAAAAAATGGACGCATACTTTGACTGAGTTTTTCTTTTCCTTCCAATGATATATCATACTGTTATAAGAATATAATATAAGATAATAAATAAAACGAATTCAAATTATTTAAACTTGAGAAGCTACGTGCCAGAATGATTTTTTCACAGTTGCTTAACAATCTGATCACCCTGAAATGCTAAAATTGGTGCTTAATTGAATTGGTCCAACTCCATCAGTATTATTATATTAAGGGTATTCCCCTTGTCAAGAGGTAGAAAAGAAGGGGAATGCACTTGATGACTTGACTAGACGAACTCTCGTCAATCTAAGCATCAACAAATAGGAAAATGAAAAAACACCAACTGTTTCCAGGTTGTTGAGACTTATCTTATTCTTAGTCGTAGGCCAATCTGCTTATGTATACCCGGCGAAATCGTCAATGTTCGAACCAAGTCCAAAGCGGCTGCTGGGAGGGTAAAAAACTGATCAAATTCTGTTTCCTCAGAGACCAGGATGGTCCACTCTGCGCTTCCTACGCTCACCTGCTTCTTAGTTAGGCCTGTGCCTTGTCCTATTTAATTTCACACACCAAATATGGAACATTGAGCTTTGGCACCCTGGTCTAACAAGGTTCTAATTCCACTCTTCTCTTAATAGCTACAACGTGCACACCATTGCACCCCAAAAAACCATACAAAATTATTATAAAACAGAAAAATGAAAATCACTTATCTAACAATAACCCAAATTCTCTCAAAAAATAATATTAAAAAAAAATTTAGTCTAGCCTTTTCAATGTTATAAAATTGCGTTGACATAATTACATTCAACGAAGCCACTGATAGGTTGACCGCCATAACATTAAAGGATAATAAATCCCTATATGCAAGGATGCATCACAAAATTTATTTAGGGGTCATAATTTTTTATTTCCTTTAATTCTAATTATAAAAAAAAATTTATATTTTTTTTCATAGTTGGTTTTTTTTTCTATCCCTAACATAGTTGTCCTTATTTATTTTATATTATAAAGTTTCAATAGTCAACTTTTTATTTTTATTTTTTTTTTAAAAATTATCCATAAGATGCAATTATAAATGTTATTATTTTAAATTGATGCATTTAAAATACCTTCATTTTAAAATTATTTAAAATTTCACCCTTAGAGAAATGATGTTTTCGTGTCGTCCCGCTTACTCAGGAGCACAGTGATGTAATTTATCGCAAACTTAAATATAATTAAAATTTTCTTTTATTGATTTCTTTTACAAAAAAAAATAAATACAAAAGGCAAAACACAAAATGTAAATAGAAATTAAAAAAACAATAGACAATAAAAAAAAGAAGAAGCATAAATCAAATGAAACCTTCGTGAATGAGTAACGAATTTATGGAAGATAAATGGCAGAACGTGGAATAATTAGCATATGCGATATGGTTTACAAATTAAATAAAAAAAGAAATGAAGCCCTGACCCTTAAAGAACGCCATTATTCTCTTCCAACACTCAACAGGGTCCCATTCCCATGCCCTTATAAATTGCCCAACCTTCTGCCTACGCCTCTGGACAAATACGACTATTCAAACGCTTTCACCAATGACGATGACCGAAGAACAAAAGCTGAGGAAAACAGAAGAAGCGGGTGATATTCGAGGCGATGTCTTAGAATCCATTCTATGTCTTGTTCCTCTCATCCATCTCCTTCCAGCCACTCAGGTGTCTAAATCATGGAACCACGCCGTTTTCTCATCCCTTCACCATTTCAACAAGCCCAAACCTTGGCTCCTTGTCCATGCTCAGAGCTCACGTCCCCCTTACGCCACCACAGCCCTTGCTTACGACCCACGCTCCAACCTTTGGCTCCGGATCAACCAAAACCCACCCATCGAATACGTCTCCGCTCTCCGTTCTTCCAACTCGACGCTCCTCTACATGCTCTCTCTCTCTAAATTCTCCTTCTCCTTCGATCCTCTCCACCTATCGTGGCATCACGTGGACCCACCCCTCGTCTGGCGCACCGACCCCATCGTCGTCGTCGTTGGCGGCCATGTGGTCGTCGCTGGAGGCGCGTGCGACTTCGAGGATGATCCACTCTCGGTTGAAATCTACAACCTCGACACACGCAGTTGGACCACGTGTGAGTCCATGCCAGCAATCCTCAAAGATTCAGCAGCTTCTACGTGGCTTTCTGTCGCAGCCAATGCTAAAAAGTTGTACGCCATGGACCAAGTTACTGGTGTTACGTACTCTTTTGACCCGAGTTCCAGGATTTGGTCTGAACCATTCCATCTGCGTCATGACCAGAACATTTACTTTTCTGCGATTGGATATTACGGGGATAGCTTGATCATGGTGGGGTTACTTGGAAATTCCGAGAATGTTAAAGATGTCAAAATCTGGGAACTAAAGGGCGAGTCCTTTGAGTTTTGTAAAGAAATGGGGGTGATGCCGAAGGAGTTGGTGGTGAAGCTGAAAGGGGAACAGACAAATTTATTTTCAATAAGAGTAAGTTTAATGGGTGAATTTTTGTATATATATAATCCTGGAGAGCCCGAGGAATTGGTGGTGTGTGAGATCGACGGCGAAGGGCTTTGCCGGTGGCGAAGTTTGAAGAACGCGGCGGTGAGTGATGGGAGCAGGGTGGCGAAGAGGATGGTGCTTACGTGTGCCGATGTGGGGTTGGGCGATTTAGGTAAAGCGGTGGGTTCGGGGAAAGGAAGTTTCAGTATTGTTGATAGTGGGAATTTACAGCGATTTTGAGATCGTTTTTATTAAAACTTCATGAATTGAACAGTTTGACTTGACTCATGAGTCATAGTGAATATGGGGAGCTGCTTTTGCCCGTTCCTACTTTGCTTTTATCTCCACATTACCTTTCTACACTTACAATTTGACTATTTTTCTTCATTTCAGTTATACTCATCAAACAAAGAAAGATTTTCCTGCAGGATGCATGTGTTCACATTAATAAAACTAATAATGAAGTTAGCAGATTGGGTTTAGGGACCAAACGACGTTGTTTTGGCCCTTATTTTCCTATGATCAGTTTTTATGTTTTTTTGGAGAAACATTGGCATAAGCACCAATTCATGAAGAAGAAGTCCAAAAATCTTTGAAGAAGAATTGTAAGTCGATAATAAAAAAATCCATGAAGAAGCGTGTTAAGCATCAGAAACAAAACCAAAAATACTTACATAAGCCTAAGGGATTTGGTCAGCTGCTGTGGAAGAATAAATCATCGGCGCTGGTGGAAATTCTGTGAGAGATGGGTCTGACAGTTGAAAGAAACTAAGCATTGAGTTGGGAAAATTGTTTGGGCATTGAGTGGAAATAAATACATATATGTATTAAATTAAATTAGTTTTTTATAATTAATAATTAATTAATTATATTAATAAATATTATTTATTATTTTATATTTATATAAAATTAATGTAAAAAGTAAAAAATATTATATCATCGTATTAATTAATTATTCAAAATTAATTTATAAAAATTTAATTAAATATAATAAAAAAATATTTTTTAATGTTTTAAATAATTTAAAAACTTTTTTAAAGTTAACCCGATCTTTCTTTTATTCCCATTTTCGGAAACTACGCGCTGGTTTCTGGTTTTTTATTCTTCAGCGGTTGGTAAGCAGTATGATAATGTCTCTTTTCTTTTCTCAAAAGTATGATTATGTATGTATGTTATGTTTAATTAAATCCTGATAGTCCATCCAATCCAATCTCATCCTCAGCATATATAAGTTGGTGTCGGTTGTTACGCGGTGGCTTTACCCCTGCGGCACTCCAAAGCTTTCCCAGGAATTACCAAAGTATTTCTAATTCTAACAATAACATAATCTTTCATTACACACAAACAAAAAAAAAAAAACAAACACACAATACTTCACCATAATATAATAATTATGCTTACATCTATATGGTTTTTTCCAAGCATAATAATTATTAATTACTGAAAAATGAATAAATAAATTCATTTTTATTAATTGGGAGAAAGGCTTACCCACCTATGGTAAATGGTTCAATATTCACTCCATCTTTCCGACTTTCTCAGTGGAAAATAAAGGAAAGAACAATTTCAATGGCAGATGGGCAACGTAATGTTCAAAATTACATCCCATATATCTAAAAGCACAAGTAATTGGAAAATACTAAGGTTGAAAAATAGGCTTGCCAAAAAGAAAGCAATCAAGTGGTGTCATTGAGATTTGATGTAATTGCCAATGACGATTTCTTGGGTAATGGGTTAATGGGGTTGGCTACATTATATGACTATGAACAGATAATGTCCACCTCACAATGTCATTGGCAGTTAAAAATAATTTCACATAACTTCTTCTTTTATCCTCAACAATTGAGACGTCGTCTCATCTTTAATCCATCGTAATCATTTGATTCCAACATTACGCTGTCTAACGCTCGACCCTGGCCGCTGTTGCACTATTTTAATGAATCACATGCAGTAAAATCCCTTGACTTTTGAAATGTAATTAAAAAAAAAAAACAGGAAAAAGGAGATCGTAACCATTTATCCAGGAGATTAATGCTACATCAACGGAAACACAAGGACACAAACTCCTCCTTCAAGCAACAATTTACTCTATTTTCCATATCTTTTTTGTTATTCCAAATTACTATTTTAGTAGTCATGGGCCCAAAAAGCTGAGCCACATTGGTTTACTGATTGAATTCTAGATTTCATTGACTTTTCACTACCTGTGCTGGGTGGGTTGGTGAGTAGAAAGGGGGCTCTGGATTCATTATTCATTCTCTTTGGTGCAAGGTATTGACATGTCAACCCCCTCTGTCTCTCCTACTTTTTCCTTTTTTTCCTTAATTTATGTTGTTTGTTGTCAATACTTATATTAAGCATGGTTTGATAATCAAAAAATATTTTATTAAAAAAATAAATTTTACTTTGTAAAATATATTATCAATAATTTTAATATTTTTTATTGTTTGGATTAACTCTGGAAAATTTTTTACATTGCTTGAATCATTCAAAAAAAATATATTCTCATCGTAATCCATTTTTAAAACTTTTTTCATCTCCAATAATTTTCTACAATAACACTATAAAAATATCAAAAATATTTTTCTCAACATTAAAAATATTGTATATATATATAAGATTTAACCTTTTTCATTAATTTATTTCTCATCAAATTGTTATACTAGTTAGTTTGTCATATATTAGAAATTAAATGAAATGAGAGATTTTCATGTGTAAAAAGTTTATTTCCTATTTCATATAAAAAATTTTGTAATTAACTTTAATCATTTTTTATTATATTAAAAATTATAACACGTTAAAAAAATAATTACAATGACATAATTCTTATGAAATAATTGAATAAAAATAATTATAGCAACAAGTTTGGCCTTATTTCCCTTTCCCTCTCTAGCTTCGTAATTCTTATTTCGTCTTTGTTTCTTTCTCCTTTTTTTTTCTTTCCAAAGTGCCCCAGTGTTTATAAAATGATTAAAGTATCTTTTAAAAAAGGATAAAACCCCAACCATGTCCCTTTTTTCAGGTGTCAACATAGGTTTTCTCTGTAAATTAATATTCATTGTCCTTACTATTTTGAAAAAAAAAATCAAGATCTCTTGCAATTGGATTTCTCCACCTGAGGGTTCCATGAAATTTAATGTGGATGGTGCTGTTAGAGGATGCCCAAGCTAGTCAAGAATGGGAGGTGCGTTGCTTGATAGCAATGGCTCTAAATCTTTGCCTCATTCGGCAAATCAACAATCTGAACACCAAAGTTGCTAGATGGAGAATCAATCGTTTTCCAAGATCTAGTAATGCCCTTATTGACATTCTTGCCAAAGATGGAATGGGCAGGTTGGAAAACCTTCTAGTTGTCACTCCTTAGGCCCTGTTGTTGTTTGGTTTATGGCGTTTCTCTTCTCTCGACTTGACACTCTTTTTTTGATGTTGTTGTTTCTCTCTATTGCTGTTGTTTGTTTCTTGGTGATCATTCAAGTTCTCTTCCTATTAGGGTTTTGGCTTGCTCTTCCTAGTCCTTTGTGTTTTTCCTAGGATTTTCCTTTTTTGGCCTTTGTGTTCTTCATTATTCTATGTGGTTGTTCTTCTTCTGATTTTTCTGGTCTCTTGTATTTCCTACTGCAAATGCCAATAATATAAATGTTTCCTTGTGGAGAATAATTTAGCTAATGTGGTTTATATTATTAATTCTTCAAATGCTGTGTCTATGTGCTGCCGAAATAAATGAAAGTATGAAAAATCAAGACTTTGAACTTAAAATTTCTGTAAACGTTTTAGATTAGAGAAACTTAGCTAAATAGAAAATCCTGTCTTAGTCAAGATCTGTTTATTGTTTTAAAAACTAATTAAACTCATTGGAGGATAAGAAATGACTTAATATTCTTTTAGTCACTAATTGTATTATTTTTCTAAAGACCAACATTAATTATATTACTTTTCTTTCCAATACTTACTATTTTGTTTCAAAATATTTTTTTGATAAGGAAATACTTTTACCCATGTTGTCCATATCAAAGACTTTGATGGCACAGGAGGGTGGCATTACATAGGTTGCAAAATATGTATGAAGACATTGCAATAGATAAGAGACAGTTTCTAGTTTCCAACACCGCATTTATGGTAGAAATAATTATAATAAAATATAATAAAAATTAAAAAATCTTTAAAATACTGTTTTCTACATTTAATAAAATTTTTATTTTTCTTTGTTTCATTAGTTACAAAATTAATTATCATTGTAGAAGACAACACTGGTAGTACAATATTTGTGATTTTTGGTGATGATAGTGAGAAAGTAGTTGATGCATCAATTACCAAACTAGCTTTGCTGAACCAGTTAGATAGATGCGTTCTTCCTCAACCTATCTCAAGGTTAATTGATGATCAAAAGCTTTTCACTGTCGCCTTGGTTACCAAATCATTGGAGAGTGGAGAATTATCATTCAGAGTGATAAATGGTAGAAATGTTGATGGTCTGCCTAAGCTGCCATTGAATTTGAAACAGTCATCTGTAAGAGGTGATTATGGAAAACGAGGAATAAGAGGAAGTCTGAGGTGTGAGATCACTGTCCTTAAGGATAATTTTCGTCCCTTGAGAGTATGAAACTCTGTGTAAAAGGACTGTAGCGGTTATCCTCCAAGATTCAACAGACTCTTCCTTAATAGTTTGCACAACTATTAAGGGATGAACAGGAACAGCAAAAAAAAAAAAACCCAGGTATCGAATGAAAGAGGCGAAGAAGGAAGCAAAGAAAGCTTAAAAGCTGATAAGCTTTTTGATGTGTGTTGAAAGTGAAGGTGTGAGACTGTATTTATAGGTATGGAGTGAGGTGAACGTTGCACCAAATAAGGTGCACGTTAAACCAGATTAGGGAGTTGAGAAAAACATTTAAGAGTTAGAGAAAAACTTGGTCACCTTATTAACTAAGTTAGACAGACGTTGGAGCATATCCAGGTAAGGTAAGTAGAGTTTTAGAATAATTCAATCAATGCACGTTAAACCAAATTAGGGAGTTGAGAAAAACACTCAAGAGTTGGAGAAAAACTTGGTCACCCTATTAACTATGTCAGATAGACGTTGGAGCATATCCAGGTAGTACAAAAGTTCAAGTGGGCACAGCCCACGTGTATATTCGCGCGACCTGGAGTATAAGGTAGGTAGAGTTTTAGAATAATTCAATCAAGTCACGTTAAACCAGATTATGGAGTTGAGAAAAACACTCAAGAGTTGGAGAAAAACTTGGTCACCCTATTAACTAAGTCAGATAGACCCAGGTAGTACAAAAGTTCAAGTGGGCACAGCCCACATGTATATTCGTGCGACCTGGAGTGTACTACACTACCTGAGAAAACAGAGTGGACTC